GTTCTTAGGTTTCAAAGAGTCTGACCTTCACCAACTCATTGCTGAACTGTGGGGCTGCCATTAAGGTGTGTCAAAGGGATGGAGCTGCACGGGGGGTGGAATGCTATGCTCCCTGTAGCCAATGATGAAAGCAGAGGAACAGAGTTGCTATACACAAAATTCAGATGATCTAGGCCTCTTGGAACCAAGAGATTGAGATCACGATCCAATTGGACTAGGAAATGAGGCCACCCAGTTTAGGGAACAAAGTTGCCAACTTAATGGGTCTGGAAAGTGGAGCTGAAGCTCAAGACCAGGAGCCTGCACCCAAAATCCAGAGAGCAAGGCCAATGCTGAGACTCTGGAGGGCAGGGCCACTGCCAAAATGGTTTCAGAGAACAGTTGCAAGCAGAGGCTGGGCTGAGGAGCCAATAGCTAGTGGGAGGCCCCTCCGAGGGCATGGATGAGAAGAGATTATCTTGATAAGAAAACTAATCTGAATTGTTACCTGCTGTTTTCTTAATAGCAGAGTCCTGGTGTGGCTCTGGGTTAATGTGCCAGACTGCAAGGCTGTTTGAACTGCAAGATCCACCGTTCAAGCTCACCAGCATCTCCTCGGAAACCCTATACATGGTCTCTATGGGTTGGAACCGACTCAACGGCACTTAACAACAACAACAAATTTTCTTAATAAACTCCATAATTGTGAATATTGTCTACGGGTTGGTGCGGTCATTGCAACAAATTATCAAAAACAGCAGAGGAATAAAGAGTTCCATAGGAAAGATGGACACTTGGTTTACTTTTAAGCCTTGAGAGCTAATGCAAATTGTTCTGCTGGGTTTTAGATTTTCATGAAGCCTGTTATTCTTTCTTTCCCTACAAAGTCCCCCATATTTAAAGGAAATATTTACCTTGTGCCTGATCTACCATTGCATTCCAGAAGCAGGTAACTTGTTTCACAAGTTCACAATCGAAGAGGAATTTTATCTTAAGACAGAATTTGGACTTGGAATTGACTTAAGACTTTTATGATGGAATGAATGTGATCTGCAAGTGGCAAGCACATAAATTTGGGGCGGGGGGGGAGGGTACCAAGTGGTGGAACTGATAAAATACAAATTGAAATCTTCCAAAAAACTGAAGAATCTCTGGAGATGTTCACTCATATATGCCAAAAATTTGGAAGACCACTACCAGGTCACCAATTGGAAAAGATATATATTTGTGCCTATTCCAAAGAGTGACCCAACGCAACGTGGATAATTGAACAATATCATTAATATCACATGCAAGTAAAATTTTGTTGAAGATAATTCAAAAATAGCTACAATGGTACATTGACAGAAAACTGTCAGAAATTCAAGTCAGATTCAGAAGTGGACATGGAAGGATACTCATCATTGCTTATATCAGATGGATCTTGGCTGAGAGCAAAGAATACCCAAAAGATGTTTATTTGTGCTTTATTGACTATGCAAAGGCTTTTGACCCTGGAGATCATGACAAACTATGAATAATATTCAGAAGAAATGGGCATTCCAGGAGAAGAATGAAAATCCTATGGAGTAGGTCTACTCTGCAGACATGGGTCACTGTGAGTCACAACTAACTGTAACAGAAATAAAAGCAGTAATGACAATAAATAGGTCAATAAAAAATATTTTAAACTTGATGAGCATTCTGAAAATTCCTAAAAAGGAAAAGATTATGTATCCCAGAATATGTTTATGCCCATGTCTCTTACCTTCTGTCATCAATATTAGAACACAGCCAAGACTTGAGCCATAAACAAAATAAATCCCCTAGGAGCTCAAAGAGTGCTTCTTTTTGATTTATACACTGAGATTCATTTACTTTACCTGATGTTCCTTTGGAAGATACTAACTTTTGTATCAGACACAGTTCTATTATGTTTGAATGAGTTCCCATTGTTTTCAAGAGAACAAATCTATAAGACCTCTAAGACTTCACAGCTTATCTGACTCTGCCTACTGCTCTATGCTTATCTCAGACTGCTCTCCACTTCAGCAGCACTTATCACTAATACCATTAATTAAGGGAAATTCTCCTGTTATAGATTTCAGTATTGCATTAGGCAGACCTGCTGCATGAGACCACTTTAAAGTGTTCAAGAGTAAAGATGTCAGTTTGAGGACTAAGGTGCACCTGATTCTAGCCATGGTATTTTCAATAGACTTATATGCATGTGAAAGTTGGACGATGAATAAGGAAGGCAGTAGAAAAATATTAAAAGTGCCATGGACTGTCAGAAGAACAAACAAATCTATGTTGGAGGAAGTACAGCCAGAATGCTCCTTAGAAGTCAGGATCGCAAGACTTTATTTCTCATGCTTTGTACATTATGCTTCATAAAGTGGAGGGTCCACGAAAAAGAGGACGATTTCCAACAAAATGGATTGGCACACTGGCAGTAACCATGGGTTTAAGTTTAGAAGCAATCGTGAGGATGGTGCAGGACCAAGCAGTGTTTAGTTTTGTCATGTGTAGGGTCACTATGAGTCATAACCAACCCAATGGTACCTAATAATGGACCTCAGTCCAGTATACCTCTCTTTTCAATATTTATCACAGATTACTATATTGATCAGTCATTGGCTGATATGTGGGAAATGGAGCTCTTTCTCCTTTGCAAATAATAATAATAATGATTTTAAATATTTTGTAATAAAGTGAGCCAAGACATATTAAAGCACTATGTGAAGATAACATACCATGTGCTTATATGACTAATAGCTAAACTCCCCAAGAAACTCTAAATTCCATGAGTGTTTTATCTGTTTTCACAACTAATGTACAGATAGCACCCAATCAATGTTTAACAAATATTCAATAACTATCCAGCTGATTAAACTAACAAAATGTTGTACTTGCTTATTTGTGCATAACAGATTGAAAGAAGCAAATGTTGTAAGCAATTCACCCTAAAGACAGACCACACAACAGTCATCCAAAAGCAAACTTAGAGCCCACAGCCATCACACTGATTTTGACTGCTAGACTGGACACATATGGGGCCCGGCTCTCAGTGCTGACTGTTCTGACGGGGAGTATAATAGAGGGCCCTAGATAAAGTGGGAGAAATCTATGGAACAAAACTCAAAATCATCAAAACTACAAGGCTGTCTGGTCTGACAGAGACTGGTGGAACCCCTGACACGATGGTCCTTAATCATCCTTCAGGTCTGGAACTGAACTCACCAAGATGGCTCAACCTTCAGCCAAACAATAGGCAAGACTATAAGGGGAACACTTCCATCAGGAGGAATGCATTCCTTACAACAATCAACACTATAGGTCAAATGGTCAGCATTTGTCCAGGGATACAGCTCCAAAGGTAGGAAAGAACAGGAAAGAAAAACCAGCGGAAATGGGAAACACAGAAAGGAAGTGGCCAAAGAGCTTTCCCATCGTGGGCGCAGTCAATGTCACGAAACAAAACATGTATGAATTGTTGGATGGAAAACCAATTTGCTTTGCAAAGTTTCACTCCAATCACAATAAACTCTTAAAAATAAAAACAAGAAATTAAGGCATTCTTTAAGAGCATCGTTATTATTAATGTGTGTTATAGTAAGTGAAGTTATCAATGAAGGGCTAGGTTTTGATCTGTGTCTAAGAAAAAGGAGAAATTAGTAATTCACCTTTAAGATGATGTCATCCAGAGTTGCTTTGCAAGACTTTTCCCCATCTTCTAGATGCGACCTGTAGTTACTGATAAAATGCACTGCTCTGCACTCATCTTTGCATCCCCTAATAATATTGGATAAATGAAGTGTTCCCAAACCTCACATTAGGGTAAATCACCTTATATTGTATCACTCCTCTTTTGTTCAATTTGATAACTGCATTAAAATGATTTTCCAAGTCCCTTTAGTGTTTAACAAAAAGATTGTTATGTAATGATTTACAAAACTTCTGCTATAAAAGAATGCAAACCAAATTTTGTCTCATGTTGCCTGAACAAAGCAAAAGAAGTCAGCCATTTGTACTTGAATTCTAAATTGAAGATGACCTTGTGCTTTTTTGAGAAAGGTTGGCAGCTGAGATCACTGGAGTGTATTGTGATGGACAGGCAGCTGTTCCATGTGCCTAGGAGGCATGTCCATACTGTGCACTACAGCCAAACCCGAAGGATTAGACAGCTCAGAGCATTCTATCATTTTATTTGAAAATAATGGCCAAAGTCATGGGCAGCAGCCATTACAACTTTCAAGAGAGAATAGCAGCACGCATTAATTCCATCACTTCAGACAGGTGGTCTAGAGCGAGTCTCAACCAAATCCTAGCAATCCAGCATATTCTGTACCAGTTTCTTGTGACACTCACAAAAGCCACATTTCTGCTTCCTAGAAACCCCTACCTGCATCACATTGCATAGTTAGTTCTTTCTTAAAAGATGTAGTTCCTTCTTCAAATTGACTAAACCACTGAGAGAAATGTAACAAGAGAGAAAACCTCAGGAATTTAGCTGGATACTCTTACTCGGTAAATATACATCAAATCTCCAAATCATCCACTCTTCTAGCCTATTTCTTGATTAGGAAGCTTGAAATCAAGCTTTTCTGAACTTAAGAAGAGGGGGTGGGGTAGTGAAGAAGCTTGAAATCAGTTTCCAAACACAATGTCCAATCCTTTCTCTATTAATAGCATGAACAAAGCATTTTCAAAGAACCCTAAACCGTAGTCACTGATGCCATATGAGCCTTTTAAGTGACTCCTGAAATATTTAAGCTGAACATTTTGATTGATAGAGACTTATTTTTAACTTCTGTTTCTTTCAGGCACAGATTAATGATAGCACCAATATATATACATAGACATACTTGCAATTTAAAAGCAGGTGGAAAAACTCACACTTTCTGATTTAAAAGAGGAACTGCTTCTAATCCTGTGTTCTCCACTCTGCCTGTGTGTCTTCTACATACAGGGGATAAAACATACCCTGTTGTCATTTCTAAAGTATTGACAGACACACACAAAAATTGGTCGTCACTTACCATTAAAATTGACAGCCCGAATATAGCCAAGTAACTCTTTGCCATCGATGATGCCCATCCGTGGACACAGACCAATGTAGCCAGGACAGAGATCCTTGTGCAGACTGTGTAGGGCATAGGCCATGGAGTATACAGCATCAATCACAAACTGGACCTTCCCTTCCTGTTCGTACGATGAATCCCGCGCAATGCGCTCCAGACCTACAAAACAGAAAGGCGAACCATCGATCTGCTTCTTGAGATTCCAGTAAGAGATGGCATCGAGGCTAAGATTTCCATGACCGGAGGTATATGTAAAGAGACCAAACTATTTGATTTTACTTTTGATTACTTTACACCAAGACTTACTGAGTCAGGTTTCTACACTGGGCATTGGATTTTCCAATTGAAAAGAACAGAAAAGATGTCATTAGCAACCAAAAGATATAAAGTAAATAAGAGGTGTTTTCATGATCTTTATTTTCACTTTGAGTCCTGTAATAGTGTGTTTTCTAGTACCTACAAAACATCTCAGTAGTGGCTTGATCTTTTAAGCAAATGGTGTGCAGCCCCAAGCGTTTCATTGACTTCTGCTCTAGGTGCTCTGTGTTCATTTCATTTCTTTTCTTTTTTTAAATCTCTATCTGTTCTTTTTTGAATGTTCTCTATCTGAGAGTCATTTTTCTAAATGCGCTATGACACTATTTCTTTAAAAGACCTTGATTATCTTTAGGAAAATCCTCCCATTTATTTTTATCTTGAATTCAATTTTCTATTTTAATTTACTATTAAAAACTACAAGTCTTTCAAACTTAATGACATTCTGAATCATCGTATTTGCACATTGGGCATATTTTGGGCTGAAAATCAACACTGGCTTAGTGTTTATCATTTACTTTGTACAAGATGCAAAGGATTCAAAATAGAAAATAAAATAGGATTTAATTTTAAAAATCCAAAATGCAGGTTATACATCAGAAATCACCTGTAATCCAAAATTCTCATTTTGAATATAAGAAAAGTCAAGGATCATGAAGGCTAAAGAAAGGCACATGAATGAGCACAAAGGGTTGATTTGAGAAGAATGCCCAGACCTCAAACTCCAAGTCCAACAGAGGGTCACTCCCAGACATATTGTGTTCTGGAGTTACGGAACCAGCAGAGATCTCCTAGCACCTCCACATTTTTGTTAGGTGTTATCAAGTCCGTTTTGATGACAGTGACCACATGGAAGAGACAGGTGATGGTGGTGGTGTGCCATGGAGTGTAACACTGTAAGGGTTTCCAAGGTTGTAAATCTTTACAGAAGCAGAAAACTTCATCTTTCTCCCATGGAGCAACTGGTAGATTCAAACAGCTGGCCTTGTGGTCATCAGCTCAGCTCATAATCCACTGCGGTACCAGAATCAAAGTGCTCAATAGGGGCTTCTACACTGCTTTTTTATTTTTTAAATTGTAATAGCTTGCTCACATTTTCTGATTTCATTTTCTGCTCCTGGGTTTTTTGTTTTGTTTTGTTTTTTAATGTTTTATTGTGAATTATGTGATAGTTTACATGGGAAAACATTAGCTTTACATTCATCCTATTGTACATCATTTCATTGCCATGGTTACAATCCCCTCCATACATCATCAACCAACCAAAGGGCATACCCTACAAGCCTGCCCCCTTGGTCGTCAGCACACAGTCCCTCTCCCTATCTGGGTCTAAAGTCCCCAGCTGCTCCATCTCTCCACGTTGTCATCTCTGCCTCCATCTCTGGCATCACTGCTTCTCTGGGTAGGGTCCTGCACTCTGCTCTTCTCCCTTGATAATCCTAGGGACCTCGGCTCCTAGACTGCAACGTCTAACACTCCCCTCCTTTTGCTACAAAACGTCCACCTTTACATTTCCAACCCTAACAATCAGTCCTGATAGCAATTATTCACTATTGTATCACAAGAGACCTAACCACATTTCCTTTCATCAGCCCCGCTCAGACAGATTGAATACTACTCATCTACACGTCATTCTTTAAAGGAGCAGATCACCAGATCTTTCTAGTTGTGGAGATTTAGGATGAGTTGGGACTGCCAATTTGTTAGCAACCAAGACATTAACCATTGTATGACCGGGTTTAGTCATTTGTTTTTGTTGTTGTTAAGTACCGTGGATTCGGTTCTGACTCATAGTGACCCTGCACAGGGTTTCCGAGGCTGTAAATCTTTACAGGAGCAGAAAGCCTCATCTTTCTCCCATAGAACTGCTGGTATTTTAGAACTGCCGACCTTGAGGTTAGCAGCCTGATTCGTAACCACTGCACTACCAGATCTCCTTAGAGAATTGATGCTTTTGAGTTATGGTGTTAAAGGAGAATATTGAAAGTGTCATGGGCTGCCAAAAGAACCCACAGATAAAATATATGTTTGGAAGAAGTGCAGCAAGAGTGCTCCTTGGAGGCCAGGATTATCTCTCATAATTCGGACATATTGTCAGGAGGGACGAGTCCCTGGAGAAGGATATCATGTTTGGTAAGTTGGAGGGTCAGAGAAAAAGAGGAAGACCTCCAGAGAGATGGATTGGCAAAATGGCAGCATCAATGGGCTCAAGCATGGTAACAATTGTGAGTTTGGCCGAGGATATGGCAGTGTTTCATTCTGCTGTGCGTAAGGTCGCTATGAGTCGGTACTGACTCGATGGCACCTAACAACAACCACCCGGGTTAATCACCACTAACAGTACACATTCAATAATACTTGAAGTGACCATTGTTGTTATTAAATGTCATCGAGTCCATAGCGACCCTTTTAGTGTTTCCAAGGTAGATGTTCAGTTAATAACCTTTAATAATAAACAGTCTTTCAATTCAATAACTATCCGTTCTGTTTACACTTGTTGTTGTCACGTGCCATCGAGTCAGGTCTGATTCACAGCAACCCTGTATAGGATTTCTAAGGTTGTCAATCTTTATTAGAGCAGAAAGCCTCATCTTTCTCCCACAGAGTGGCTGGTGAGCTTGACTGTCAACCTTCTGATTAAGCAAACCAGTGCTTATTCTACAGTAACATCAGCAATTCTTGTTGACACTTACATAAATCAAAAGCATTGAAATCAAATGTTTTGTAAGTCCTTAGGTCTTTATAACTGATGTTAATAAAATTCTAATAAAACCAGTACCTTTCTTCTAGACAAATGAGATGGCCCATTTGTTCATTTGTAATCATCCAATCATTTGGATTCCTGGTGTGGCACTGTAGGATAAGCACTGGATTGTGAACCACAAGGTCAGTGGTTTGGTGGTTCAAACACACCAACTGCTCCTTGGAAACCCTACACAGGGTCACTCTGAGTTGGAATCAACTTTACGGTAACAACAAAACTCATTTAGTGATTTTCTCTGTTCTCAATCACTGGGACTCGGCTGTTTTGGAAGCCACTGATGTTCTATTTCTGTAGTGGTTGATGTGGCTGAATGCTGACCCTCCCTTTGCAAGCTGCCTTTTCTGATTTTTTGATGGCTTCACTTTCCTTTCTCCAAGACTCTGTCTTCTTTTTTCTTCATCTCAGAGTCCACTCATTTTAAAATCTTTCATTATTGTCTATCTCTATGGTCTAGAAATCAGAATCCAAAATTCAGGTGATATGGGTCAAAATACTATATTAATATATATTGATCAAGGTTACCCATTTTGGAAATTTCATATTCTATGCCCTTCCCATCACTTACTTAACTGCCAGTCTCAATGTTTTGTCAGATCTCTCCCTCCACGTTCAACTCAATGCATCTAAAACCAGGCTATGAGTGTTCAGAGCTACATCATGATGGTCCTAAAGACTTCTAGTCAAGGTTTCACAAGCTGGGGGGTTTAAACTGCCAACCTGTAGTTAGCCGTCCAGTGCTTTTCCTATAGTGCCGCACAAGAACTGTAAATGTTACAGCCTTAGAAACCCTATGGGGCAGTTCTACTCTCTCCTATTAGTTCACTGTGTGTCAGAATCAACTAGACAGCAATAAGTTTGGGTTTGAGTGGTTGTTGTTGTTGTTAAGTGCCGTCGAGATGGTTCCGACCCATAGCGACCCTGTACAGGGTTTCCGAGGCTGTAAATCTTTATGCGAGCAGAAAGCCTCATCTTTCTCCTGTGGAGCGGCTGGTAGCTTCGAACTGCTGACCTTAAGGTTCGCAGCCCAATTCATAACCACTACGCTACCAGTGAGCAAGCAGCACTAATTGCCATTGAGTGGATTTCAGTCCATGGCAACCCCACTGATGTCAGGTTAGAATGGCTCCCGAGGGTTTTCAAGGGCTGATTTTTCAGAAGTAGATGACAAGGCCTTCCTTCTGACTTAAAGTAGCCACGCATAGTAACCATCTGCCTCAAGCAGGATGCAGGAAAATGAAGATGGTAGCCTAGAAAAAGAGGCAAACAGCCATGAAATTTAGTGACATAAGACTTTTTAAAACACCCACTTCTAGTGTAAGTCCCTACAGAGACATCATGTGTATCCTTTATTTTGCATCACTGAACTCGTAACTGAAATGAGATCTATGAGGTCCAGAGAAATCGTCCTGATGCCTGGTTCTTTTCCTCAGTACAGATAGATGCCTCAGTGTCGCTCCAGACTCATGAATCTCCAGATCAGGGAGCATGAAGAATCTGTCATTTGTCATTCCAAGTCTCCCCAGATAGTTCAGAGCTGTGGGACCAGCTTTTGGAGGCATTCTTTTACAGTCACTCAGTTCTTAAAAACATTAGGATAGTGATAAAGGGATTGAGTCATAGTCTAAAGAGTGGAAATAATACTAAGTTGCTTGACTGTCTTAAGAATATCGGTTTCCCTTTGGTCGGTTGATGATGCATGGAGGGGATTTGGAACCATGGCAATGAAACGCTACACGATAGAATGAAAGTAAAACTAAAGTTCTCTCTTGTAAACTATCATATAATTCACAATAAAACATTTTTTAAAAAAGAATATTGGTTTCCCTTGCCTACTATTGTAAATTAGACACTTGAGTGGGATAGAAAGGAATGTCAGGAAACAGGATTACTGAAAGCTTGTAAGCCTGTCTGCAGCCTATAACTGATTAGAATACCTAAATGGGGTTCTACAACTTGCCCAGTGAAACAGGCCTCTTGTGGAGCCTTTGTAGAGTACAGGACCGTAGGTGGAATCCTGAGTCCCATCCAGAACCTTCTGAGGTGGGACATTCCCACTGGAAAAGACAAGCAGACCAGCCTGGAACAGCTACAGTGACAGAAGATGCATCTTCAAAGAAAGATCATAAAGAAAAACCCAAAGCAAAATGTCATTATGACTGGCTACTAAAAGAATAAGCAACCTGTTCACCAGGAAGCAATCAAGGCAAATAATCAAGTTCCTTCAGGACAACCCACCCTCGAAGACTGAAATTCAAAGGGAACACATAAGCAGGCATGTAAGCTTGCCGTTGAGCACGTTGGTCTACTGGTAAGTGGAAGAGGGAGAAAGGCAGCAATAAAGATATGGGCTGAGTTCAACCACAGTCCATTGACTCCCGTTAACCAGGAGATGAGACAGAGAAGAGGAAGGTCTGTTGGTTCAATATGTGGTGAGATCTGGGGACATCTGAGCCCATGGACAAGGACATAGCCCCTAGGGCTATAGCTGAGAGTGACGTATCCAACCGATACAAAGTAAGGGGAGACACACAAGAACACCCAAACTTGCAGATAGTATCCATTTGACATAGGCTCAATGGTTTGATAATCAGAATTAGACTATAGGAAGATAAAAAATTAAAATTAAAATTTTGATAAAGGAAACGAGGGCAAATTTCTACAATTTGTTGAACTTGACTTACACTCATGGAGGTAGTTACTCTAAATACCATCAGAGAGGGAAGGAGTCTTCACATCAAGTATCAATGCTATCCCGTCTGTATACAGGGTAGATAGGGACGGGCAACATAGACACTGGTTACTTAAGGTGGGGGTGGGGGGGTGATAAAGGCACAAAGTGATTGGCTTACAAGGTTTCAAGAGTTTAGTTTAAGAGTGTGTGGGGGAAGATAGAGTCCCCACTGAATAGTTTTCATCTCGTCTAGATGGGTCTGGTAAAAAGAGATGGGGATAAGATTCTTATAATTCAATAGTGAGTAATTGTTATCATTACTAATTGTGACTGTCACAATTATAAAGGTAGAAGTTTTGTAACAAAAACAGTGAAGTAGTTAATTAAGGGAGAAGAACACAAGCGGAATGCGAGACCTTATCCAAAGAAGCAGCAACACCAAAGATGGAGACAGAGATGGGGACATGGAGAGAGGGAGCAGCTGAGGACTCTAGACTCATAGAGAGGGACTAAGAGCTGCTAGGAGGCAGACTTGCAGAATGTGCCCTTTGGTGGTTTAAATTATTATACAAGCCTGAGTATTTTTTAAAAAAGAACTATAATCATTGTAATGAAATAAGATGTACGATTTGCTGATTATAAAACCGATCATCTGCCTGTAAACTTTCACTCAACTCACAATTTGTTGTTGTCAGATGCCATCGAGTTGGAACCGACTCATAGCGACCCCATGCACAGCAGAACGAAACAATGTCCGTTCCTGGGCCAACCTCACTACCGCTGCCACACTTGATGCCATCAGTGATGCCACCTGGCCAATCCATCTCGTTAGGGGTCTTCTTCTTTTTCTCTGACCCTCCACCTTACCCAGCATGACATCCTTTTCCAGTGACTGTTTCCTCAGACAGTATGTCCAAAGTATGACAGACGAAGCTTAGCCATCCTGACCTCCAAGGAGCATTCTGGCTGCGCTTCTTCCAAAACAGATCTATTGGTTCTTTAGGCAGTCCATGGCACTTTCAGTATTCTCCTCCAACACCACAACTCAAAGACATCAATTCTTCTACGATCTTCCTTATTCACTGTCCAGCTTTCACATCCATATGAGGCTATTGAAAATACCATGGCCTGGGTCAGGCGCACCTTAGTCCTCAAGCTGACATCTTTGCTCTTCAATACTTTAAAAAGTTCCTGTGCAGCAGATTTGCCCAATGCAATACGTCGTCTGATCTCTTGACTGCTGCTTCTGCGAGTGTCGATAGTTGATCCAAGAAGAATGAAGTCCTTGACAACTTCAATCTTTTCTCCATTGATAAGAACGTTGTTTATTGGTCCAGTGGTGAGGATTTTTGTTTTCTTGACATTGAGATGTAATCCATATCGAACGCTGTGCTCTTTGATCTTCATAAGTAAATGTTTCAAGTCCTCTTCACTTTCAGCAAGCAAGGTTGTATCATCTGCATATTGCAGGTTGTTAATGAGTCTTCCTCCAATCCTGATGCCACGTTTTTCTTCATAGAACCCAGCTTCTCGTATTATTTGCTCAGCATACAGGTTGAATAAGTATGGCGAAAGAATACAACCCTGTCTCACACCTTTCCCAATTTTAAAACATTCAGTGTTCCCACGTTCTGTTCGAACAACTGCTTCTTGGTCTAGGTACAGATTTCTCAGAAGTAAAATTAAGTGTTCTGGAATACTCATACTTCACAATGTTGTCCATAGCTTGTCATGATCCACACAATCGAAAGCCTTTGCGTAGTCAGCAAAGCACAGGTAAACATCCTTCTGGTATTCTCTGCTTTCAGCCAAGATCCATCGGATATCAGCAATGATATCTCTTGTTCCACGGCCTCTTCTGAATCCAGCTTGAACCTCTGGAAGTTCTCTGTCAATGTATGATTGTAGCCGTTTCTGTATTACCTTTAGCAAAATTTTACTCACTTGAGATATCAAAGAGATTGTCCCATGATTTCCGCATTCTGTTGGGTCACCTCTCTTTGGAATGGGCATAAATATTGATCTCTTCTAATCAGTCGGCCAGATAGTTGTCTTCCAAATTTCTTGGCAGAGATGAGTGAGTGTTTCTTGTGCCACCTCACTTTCTTGAAAGATTTCAATTGTGATTTCAACTCACAATAAAAACTTTAAAAATATATATTGGAGTAGATTTAATGTTTACAGAAACATATACCATTGAAGTATCTAAAAGGAAATCATTGTTTCATAGCTTATGCAACAAGGAAACAAAATCACAACTTATCAAATCTTTCCCTTTTCCTCATCAGGTAGAGTCTGTTGTTGTGAAGTGTCCTCCAGTAGGTTCTGATGCAAAACGACCCTGTATAGGGTTTCCAAGGAGCAGCTGGTGAGTTTGAACCACCAACCTTGTTGTTCAAACTGACCTTGCAATCCAGTGTTCATCCTACAGCACCACACCAGGACTCAGATACAGAATCTAAGGGCATGCGATTCCCAGCAGCTATCAGTTTCAAGGTTTCAAGGGAAGCCTAGAGCTGATTGATTGAGAAAGGGATTGGCTAAAAGGCATGAAATGAATTGCAAAACAGGGGAGCAAAAGCACAAAATCCAATGTTTCCTTTTGGAAGGCAAGAAGATAAAAAGGAGCAGAGAAGGAAAGGAAAATAACAGGACAGAGGGGGATGGGGCAACACAGAGAAAGACTAGAGGCCCAGGCACAAAAATATGGGGTTTG